TTTGGTTTGAGGAAGCATCCCAAAATCGTTCGAAATGCGTGGCCAATCGAAAAAAAATCTCGTCCCTTCCCCTCCTCGAAAAAACCAGTCCGCCCTGATTTCGAACAGAATTCTGATCGCTCCAGCTCAGCTCATTCAAGAGTCTTGCAGCTTGAAAGGCGGAAGGTGCCGTTAGATCTTGATTTGGGATGAGCCAGGTTTCTCCTCTGCGATACCTATTGTATCCTTCCCTTAGTACAAAAAACTTTGTGTGAACAAAAAAATTGATGATTGAATTATTTATTTCGTGTCAGTATAACGGTGGATAATCAATCAAATTACAACCACTTGGAGGTGCATCAATACGGTTGAAAAGGCGACCCGTTGCCTGTTGTACAGTACAGCCAGCACAGGGGTGGATTGGATCGAACTAGGGCTGCGTCCGGCATTTCTGTTTCTCAGCTCAAAAAAAATGTTCAAAATTATTTCCACATCGATCCGGGCTAATACTCATACAAGACAAGTTCCGTCTATCTAGCAAACAAGGAGATCTTGAGCTGTGATTATCGAGGATTTTCTGTGCTAGCTTCAGTATGAGAATCTCTTCAGAATTGTTCGTCAGAATGGACTTTCGGCGCACATCAGCCTACCCAAAATCGAAAAAAAAAACTGCGAAACTCCGAAATTCCCGAGATTTTTTGAAGTGGTGAATTAACTTGGTGTTGTGCTCGCATATGAACAACTATTCCTTGTTGAATATGTAGTGCTTTAGGATTTGCTTAAGAAAAAATATTACTTTTGCAGACAAGTTATTGAGAGGTAAGGTTTAGAAAGTGAATTCTTACAATACAAATTCATTGATGCATGCTGAAGGCTTCTGACGTCTTTGTACACAACTTTAGACACTATTAAGTGGAATTTTGAGACTTGGGAGGGGGATACTAAGGACTTCCCATCTACTATTGCTTGGCAAAAATCAGGAAAAAACTGGTTAAGGTAAAATAAACAAACCGTGCACCACATCGATCTGAATTGGAGCAGCTGTCGACAAAGGGTTAGTATTCCAATTGTTGATTTCGAGGGCATGCGTAGTGAAGGGCTGATGGCTGGCAAAATACCGATTTGTGGGGTTTTGCGAATCGTCCTTGATCGTTTATTTTCACGCTTTAGATTTTTCGAGAAGTGGGGAATTTCACTATGAACGGGTTTGGTATAAGGCACGTGGAATGCCGCAGATATCATATAAGCAACAGCGAAGGAATTCCGCGGTCAATTCTAGTTCAGGGAATCCCTTTCTACCGTACATTGCTAGCAGTGGTAGATTTCGAACTTCTATTCTGTCTTCAAAACTGTGATCTCCATGCATGTCACCACCAATTGAATGCCTACATAGTTCTTTACTTTACCGCTGCTTTTTCATTGAACCGAGAATGTCTGCGATATCTCTTGTCTTCAGAGTTGATGGAACCCCTCACTTTAATTTAAGTTAGTGTCTACTGATAGTATCGGACTATAATGCGCTTGATCTATCTCCAAGGGCGTTCCCAGCAGCGTTGAATTTTGGTAATTCAATTCCACAAAACTAATTACACATTTGCTTTTTTTTATATTTGACAGCAACGTCATGCAAAAACGAAGACTCGGCACTGATGACGTCAAAGTTTAAGGAATCGAAACTGTAACAAGCTTGCACTTTTTCATTTGAATTATATTGTCCTAAATTTGTGAAAAGCTGAGCAAGCATTTGGGACTTTAATAAGCACATCTGATCTTTAGATGAACTTTTATGCTGTTCAAATACGAATACTTTTATACTTTCTAATAAAGTATGATGAATCAACGGCGATCGAGGGGGGAGGGTAGTATTTTTTCGGGTTCTTAGGCTCCTTCAAGCCTCCTACGTTCTAAGTTAAGCGCTTCGAAGTAATTGCAAAAGGTTTTTCTGCACCCGGATCGGAACCGAATCCTCTACGATTTTTGTAAAAAGAAGACACAGATAGACAATTGATGATTAGTATTAATTCAAACGTCTCAGACATTCATCATTCTGCGACGTTGCACGCATTATCAAAACATAGAGACGAATGTGCTCTGTTCTAAGTTTGGTCTCGATCACACTACCCTCGCGAGGGATCCATAGGAGCAAAAAATGCAAAAATACTCCCTATATGCTTTGGCGATATCGTATACCAAAGGATTAATAAGTGAATTTTGAGGCTGAAGGCAATAGTTCATTAGTTTATTAGTTATTATTATTATCAGTTATTAGTATTATTAGTTCAATGCTCAAGAAAAAACAGGAGAATTTCATTCCAGAAATACATCAAAAACATTCTAAAGTACGTTCTCATTTTTCATAACTCATGAATGTTGCATTTTATCACACTTACGATGTTTGAATCAAGCCAAAAGGGTGAATAAATCAATGGAAAATTATAACTATTAGCAGAGACACTCCATCAACACGAGGCTTTTCTTAAAAAGAAGGAGGAAATCATAAATCTAAGATCGATATTAAAGTTAGATTCGAAGAACATTTTAGCAACACGACTGAAGTTCAAAAACCACTTCTTGAGTATTTTCTAAATCTGCTTGTATCGAATATGCCAACAAAGATCTCTTATTCAAGCACATTAGTAAGTAGAAGATTCTTTTTTAATAATATGAAAGTAAATGATTTTTCTAAAGTCGGAGAAAGCAAATTTTTTTTTCACATTTGTGGCAGGTCTTACGAATTAATCTAGGATCACGATCTGCAGCAAATCGGACGCTTAAAAACTATTTTACTTTAAAATCTTGTTGCTCTTTGATTCGACCTGATGATACTTCCACTGAAGCATGAGAAACTCACATTGTATGGTCGTTCTTTCAGAAGTCAATCTGTACATCCATCCTTTTGTTGAAAGCATTCGATAAGCAGTGAAAGATAAGTGTTCGAATGTTTTGTGTGTTAAGTGCATGCTGTCAACGATTGTCTCTCAGCGTTCATGACATTCTCGCTCGCTTTGCATGGTCGATGACCCACGCAAAGCGTCTTCTGCTGTCGATGCACGCACTTTGCGCCCGATCTTGGGTGCAGACCAGGTGCATGGACCGGCACCGGTTATCCACGTGAATCAGGCCGAATGGGATGAGACAGCGGACTACCGCCAACGCCAATCGACTTCGCTCCAAGGTGTATAGAGGACAAATTTGGGGAAAATTCGAGCTGTCACAAAGAGCATGCATACAGTAACAACGTACCTAGCCCAAGGCAAATCAGCAAAACAACTTAGCGCTTGCCAGTAAATTTGGGAGCTGTTTAGGTAACAGCACAGTATGAGTTGCTGGCAGGTTACAAGGGTTCATAGCATATCCTTCTATTTTTCTAACTGTGATGGGAGTTTACATATGTTTCCTGGAAAAAAGCGCCTACGGCACAGTGGCGGACCAGGTATGGAGCACCAAGAATAGATCCCGAAAACTTTGAAAATTCTGCTTACATAGGTTATTAAAATGTGTTGGAGTAATTTATCACATTTCTCGGAAATTGGAGTATTGTAAAAAATGCGTTTTTTGGAGTTTTTGGAGTTTATGTACCCGCAAAAATTCTAGAAAGCATCTCAAGAGATTTTCGAATTGCTAACGCCACGTACATTTATTCGAATTAATTTTTGTCCCACATCCCGAACGGAAAACCTGCGACCGCCGCTGGCTCGCATTCGTAGGTTTAAGTTTTGGAAACAAATATGAATCCCTTAAACTTTGCGGATTAACTTCCTTAACGCTTTTTCAAGAATACAAAGTTCTCTTGATCATCCATTTAAAGAATATGATATAGAAGGTAAGCGACTGAACTACCTGGGATTTTAGGTAGATCAAACTGAGATGGCTTTTGAGAAGTTAAATTTCAAAAAATTTGAAATTCAAAGCATGCCTCATCATTGTACAAATGAATGTTCTTGTCCTGAAAAGTAATCCAATCATAACCGTCAGCGATTTTTTAGGCTTGGTTTTCTAATTAACACAAGTAAATAGGTATAAACAAAGACATGGGAAGAAGTAAACTGCAGAAATTGTGACATAGAGGCAAGAATCACTTCCGATTTTCTCATTACCAATCCCTACATGGTAAAACAAGACCGAGAGTTTGGATGCGATTCCTCCAGGAGATGACCAAAAAAAACCAGCAGATGTTTACAGCTGACAGGGAGTGTTTATAAAGAGCACCGTTTCGTTAATTGTTATTCGGTAAACTAAAGCTACATTTTGAAAAAAGATTCATGCAAATGCTCCAAAACCATTTCTTATCCACGATACTTTCTGCGCAAATATTATGCAATAGATGTAGTCAACTCTAAGTTCTGCAAAATCTCAAAAAATCGTACCAAAACGTTCAGAACTACGTTGGTAGTTCATATTGTAAACATGATCCTCATATTATTTGGCCAGTCTTTTATCATGATACGCGTCAAGCGCGTTTATCTTGAAAAATTTCCAAGTTGTTTTTGCAGAGTTTGGAACTTTGGGTGCATATTTAGATGCACATTCGCCATTAATTACAGAGGATAGACCTTTTTTTGATGTTTGGGTATCCGCATTACCTCCAGCACGTACCTACAGTTTTCATAACCTACAGTAACAATCAACGCGATGCTCGCACATCATTAAATGCTCAAAATATCACAAGATCAGAGATCAGCATCCAAAGACATACAATGCACTGAACGAGGAACTCTCGAGTGTTATTTGCGTGCTATTTGGGTGCACAGTGTGCGGGTCCGTGATTATCCGGCCTTTATTGTTGTGCTGACCCATGCCCATCTTATCGCGATGTATCCCAATCTCGCATATGCTGAGTGCATTGTACCCATCCCACACCTCATTCTGCATATTGCACTGCTGTTGGCTTCTTGGTCTTCTGTAAACCTAGTTCTTAGTTATTCGATTTTCTAAGATGTATCCTTTCCGTTTTTGGCTTCAGATCTCCCAAATCAATCCTCAACTCTTAGACTTTGAATTCTCAAATACTCTGGTTACAGATGGAACGCACCACACTCCTCTCCAAACATGGCATGAGACTTTTCGCATTCGGATGGATACTGACTACAATTACGAATTTCCCCGCTGCCTTCACTCACACTTCCGTCAACTCTGCAGTTCTAAAAATGAACGAATACCTGAACGAGTCATTTACGGATCGCTATCGACCACTGGATCATTACGAGGTGAGCTGAACAGAGATAGATACAGGATTATTTTCTCAACCATAGCATTAATTGTATTTTAAGGTCTCTCTAATCAAGTCTGGCATAAACAGCATTTGGTATGTCGGACAAGTGTTCGGGGCTTTGATGAGCCCTTATGTTTGCGACAATTGGGGAAGAAAACGTTAGTTTTTAGTTGTTATTCCAATAACAGAAGTTTCCGAGTCGTCGCAGAAATATTAGGATTTGAAGTACTAGCTTAGGCCTTAGGGATTGATTTCAGTACCTTAATTGTATTCTGAAGTGAATAAGAAAGGGCATGACCTAACCAAAAAATTTCCGCCACAGTAGTTAAGAAAATTTTTCGTTGATATTTGACTTCGCTATCGTCTGTCAATAAGGTTTTTGAAACTTAGAAAAAAGGTTGCCAAAGCTCTAAATTGCTGGAAAAAAATCGTGGCGTTCATCCTAACGTCCCGTTTTAGCGGCCTACATTATCTCAGTGGTGATGATGACAGCAGCGTGTGGAATGCAGATGATTGCGTCTCTCACGCCCTTTCCAGAGGTAGAGACATCGACCCCCTTGTAGATCTCTGTACAGCAATACTAAGCGGTTTTGCACTCACAAGCTAACCGCTATCGTTCTCCATTTCTAACTATCAATAATTCAGATTTTGATAGTCGGCCGTCTAATCACCGCCGTTTTTTCACCACTCAGCGATGCAGCTCTCATACTCTATCTTCAGGTATAGATGTTGAATTTCTGATATCTTGATTGTGATTTTCAAATCTTATATTGCCAGGAAATTTCACCGTGCAGCCTCAGGGGTACGATGTCGTCCCTATTCTCGACGGGATACTCAGTAATGTGCCTCTTTGGCATGCTTCTCGGTCATGAAGATGTGCTCGGTAAGAAAATTTCTGGTATTTTTGTGAAGAAAAAAATTAGTCTTGTCATAATGAGAGTCACCTTTTGAGAAGAAGTTTTTATTTTTAATGAAGGAAAGGAAAAATTGAGATATCACGATTCTCTAGTGTCGCGCTGGAAGAGTTCCTCTTTCTATTTGCAAGTGATCAAAGTAACGATCACGGTTTTTATTGTTGTTCGTCAAAGACAGCGTCCAGGCAAAATTTGTGCTATCCCGAAATAACCAGCCTAAGGGGGGGGGGGGGGGGGGAATGTGCGTTGGTTCGGGTCCTCAAATGTGGATTCTGAGTTGAGAAAATAGACAATGAACCCGCAAAAGTGCATTCAAGCTCCACCCATCCTAACATCTTCTCCCACCCAAATTCTAAAACCCTCACAACTTCAGGATAGGGTCCCCGTAAATCAATTCTTTTTCGCGGATTTTACACATTTTGCACTTTCATACTGTAATCAGGGCCATGGAAAGGCTCAGAATGACAAAAACGTGGACGCCTCAATTTTGGACGGATGCTGTCACTCAATAAAGAAATTTTGTGTATAACGAGCTACGAAATTGCTCACATTTGCATCCGACAAAAAAAGAGAGAAAGTTAGGAAGTCAAAGAACTGAGTATGAAAATTGAACTGGGACAAAGCTGTGTTTTGTTATTGTAAAATTCTGAACAATCAATGCATGCCAGGAGAGTCCAGAAACAAAACTGCCTCTTCCCCAAAAACTGTAGTTATCAAGAAGCTAAATTTCTGTGGAGAATTGCATTTCACAGCAGTATTGTTTTTTTTTTCAACACAGTATCAAACCCTAGCTGTAGCTGGTTTTATGACGCCAGAAAAGAGGATATAAGCATGAAAAGTATCAAGTTCTAGAAACGTTATAAGTGGTCAGTTATGTATAAAATTGGCTGATTTGGGTATTGTTATTTCCCATCATGTCGCCCTGTTGTTGAACAAGTAATTTTCATTCATCTCACAGGATGTGCCAGCTTTTATGCCTGGGTTTTGATCATTTGTCATAAAGTCAGCTGTCTGGTACATAGTTACTTGAGTTGCAAACTGCGACAGCATGGTGTTGTGAATTAGCGATTGGGGGTAGAAAAAAATTTGCAAAAGCACAAATTTCAAACGGATGAAACTCTGACATTCGATCTGGCGGGAGTATGCCCCCATAAATGATTCAGAAAGTAATGTGCAACTCATACTGCCACTTTTACAGGCCATTCACTTACTGTACTTCTTTTCGTGCCCGTCATTCCCGGAGTGATCTCAACCGTAGTTCTATTGCTTATGCCAGAAACTCCGAAGTTTTTGATGATATCACAGTAAGTACATGGATCATAAATCATTTTATCAGCGTTATGCAACTCTTTTTAGGCACAATGCAAAAGCAGCACTTGCTTCCCTGCGTTTCTACCAAGGAGATAGGGAAGATTTGCAAAACGCACTGGACAAACTGCAAATTGAGGGCAAAAGAGCTGATGTGGAAGATGGTGAAACTAATGGAAGCATTAAGGTGTATACTTTCATAGTGCACTTTGTATTAATCTTTTCGCTCAAACTAAAAATTTCAGGCAATTATCACCACACCTCATCTTCGCAAAGCCTTTACCATCTCGGTGGCTGTTCTTGTGCTCACACTCCCATTTTATCCTATTCTTCAGAATAGCACATTCTTCTTTACTCATCTAAATGTTCAAAGGTAAGATTTTACTGGCCTTCGTTCAACTCTTGACATCAATTTCATCCTGAATTTTCAGCAACTTAGCTCAACTCTCATCATCTCTCCTTATGGTCCTTCTTACATTTGCCTGCGTCACATCAACCTGCGTCGTTGATAGATTCCCAAGGAGGTAAAGTAGAATTGACGATAGCATCTGGGTAAAAATGCATGTAAAAAATTTCCAGATTCATGCTCCTGACAGCAGGGACAATATGTATGTTTGCACTGTCTGCATTTGTCATGGCCGCAGAGTTCGGCTCTAAATATGCAGCAATGACAGGAGTATTCGTCTTTGTATTTTCTTATGGGTGAGGATTTTTTTCTTCCTACTTTACACATATAGTTATTTCAGCACGTGATTTGTGTCATCTTCTGGCACACTGTAGAAAGTGACTTTGAAACTCAACTTAGTACTAAATTGCGGCCCAAAAACCTGTAAAAGTATATTTAAGAGAATTAGCCAAGAGAGTGTACTGATTTACGTTAGTGAAAAGTGAAGGTTCAGCAGATGCGATTACCAGTGGCGTACCAAGAATTTCCGATGAAGAGGGAGGGGGGTAGGCGAAGGGAGGGGGGGGTAGGCGAAGGGAGGGGGGGGGGGGGTAGGCGACAAAAATTTTCGCATGAAGGTGCATGGCATTAGCCACGCACCGGAAAATTTTTTTGGTTGCTTCCCAAAATTTTCCCGGTCTCATAACTCGAAATTTGAGGAAAAGGGACGTGGCAGAAGCCACGCCTCCGAAGAAAATTTTTGCAAGGCTAATTTGAACTTTTAAAAATTTTCAAAAGTTATTCTAATTATTAACAAGTAGAAACAAGTCGTTCGCACATTTTTATAACACATGTAAGAAACTTTCAAAATTTCGCCCTCCTCTCCCCCCCCCCCCCAACCCCGGTACGCCACTGGCGATTACATATTGCCAAGGTAAAGTACATGATTTATGTCACTTTTTCGACTTCACAAAACAGGGCATGACCACAAGCGTATCGGGGTTAGGGGGGGGGGGGGGGGGAGGAGGCGCGAAATGTTGAAAGTTACTTACGTGTGTTATAAAAATGTGCAAACTACTTGTTTCTATTTGTAAATAGGTAAAATAGCTTTTACAAATTTTTAAAAGTTCAAATTAGCCTTGTAAAAATTTTTTTCGGTTGTATCTTCTATCACATTGCCTCTTTCATGATAATCAAAAATTTGAAAGTGCAGAGAGAAAAATTTGTGTGAGTCAGTGTACATTCCATACCACGTAAACTTGATAGTAAACTTTTCACCTCAAAGTAACATGATTATTCCAATTTTTTGATAATGACCAATTTTTGAGAAATTATATATGCAAGAACTTTCAAGATATGATGAGCTTTGAAGTAATTTTTCTTCCAGAGTGGGCGTCGGTCCCGTGGCATGGTTCATCTCTGGAGAAATGGTCCCGTTGCAATACAGATCAGGAATGTTCTGCTTGTGCTATGCTGTTCACTCGCTTCTAGTCGTACTCACAAATTTCGCCACGGTACCTCTCTTAGGGGTAAGTACATAAACTAAGATTCATGAGTTACTTGAATTTTTCTTATAAAAAATAGATCAGTCAACAGCCTATGCAGCTGTCGTCTGCTTCAAGTGCATCTAATAGATGAAAACGTAGTAGCTATAGTACAACAGAACTCTGCAAAACAAAATGTGACCAACAGGAAAGCATGTGGTGTGGCTAGTAGAAGGTTGAAGCGGCTATGTAATTTCGTCCAGGTTCATAGCTCACTGGTTGAATTGCAACAAACTGACATTGGGGATCTTCTAGCTTCGAGATATAGCTCTGGCTAGATAACATAAAATGAATTCAATGATGGTTCACAAAAAAGGCTTAAATATTACCTTGAAATTCACTGGAAAAAACACATCCATTCAAAACTTCTTTCCTTCACAAACGTTCTGAAGTTTTAATCGCAATTTTTATCATGGCTAGAGTGAGTATAGTTTCTTGCTTTGAGGTTTCAACGGCAATGTTTTCTATGCATTGTTCAAAGAACTTACCACGGGAAGTGCGAAAAAAATATCTTATGTTAAACGCTCATTCATTTATGCAAGACTAGAAGCGTGAAACTTGCACAGCAACATTGAAAAAATTCAAGAACACTTGGCACGTCGATATTCACACACGAAAGTAACGCTTGTGACGCTAGTTGAAAGCAAAATGTGACGCACGAAGTTTTTGAATAAAGGTGGGATCATTGAAACAGCGTTTGAGTGAATTCAGAATGTTATCAACAATATTTGAATAATTTTGCCAAACCACGTAAGTATTTACTTTGAAATGCACTCAAATTGTGTCATTCTTTTTGCTGATCTTGGGATACCATAAAATACGACAGAAAAGGCCCTCTTTAGAAATCCTAGTTTTTTCTCAAAATTGTGTATACTACAAACCCATAGATACAACTTTTTAAACTTTTTATATCTTTTGCGTGCCCCAAGGCATCAAATGTAGCTACAAGACACTATAAAGCGACAACATTTTGACCTTAACGGAAATTGTTTCCGGTATGCAAGAAATTGGTTTTTTCAGCTTTCAACTAACAAGGAAAGGAAGGTTGGTCGAGTTGACCTTTTGAAGTGAGATGTATACTGCCTTGTAGAGGAGCTGTATACTGCCTTGTAGCTTGGAACGCTGATTCCAAATCTACCTTTGCTATCCGCTGCAGGCTTCTGAGCGAGGAGTTATGAAGGTTTTTGTGAGTAAAAATCTGAATACAAGAGTAGGCTACAGTCAGTCGTAACATTTTTAATTGGGTTTAATTGGTATTCTTCAACAAATATTCTTGATTCAAACATACCAATTCGCTGCTGCCTCATTCGAACATTGGGAAAAGGTTACAACTGATTTTACCCTATTTTTGCATCCAGATTTTTACTCACAAAAACCTTCATAACTCCTCGCCCAGAAGCCCGCAGCAGATAGTAAAGGCAGATTTGGAATCAGCATTCCAAGCTCTACAAGGCTGTATACACCTCATTTCAAAAGGCCACTTCGACCAACCTTCCTTCCCTTGTAAGGTGGTAAGATTTCCAAATCGAAGAACGCATTTGTACAGGGTGTTCCAAAATCATGTTCAACTGATCTTCAACAGCTCTCCTGTATGATAGGCTTTGCGCTTTGGGTTCCCATAGGATAAGGCTAGCTTCAAGCTAAACTGACAGTATAGATCAAATCAATCTCCCATTGTTACTGTAGGATTACGATAGGAACTTTGAAGGGACTTTTGAGCCATTGAGAGCCATATTTGCTCAGAAAAAAACCAAAAATTAATGAACTTATACGTTAGGCTAATTAGAGTTGCTGATTCTAAGTATGAGATTTGAACCATTTTACCATAATGCTTCGTTAAAAGTTATGCCAGATATGCACATTTTTTCCGATGTTTCTTGAAATATGATTACAGCGTCTGGAACGCTTAACAGCAACAAGTGTTGAGATCAGCGGGCTTGAAAATCTCGTATAGTCTATGAGATTTTGCTTTCTGCTCGTCAGAGTTCGAGTCGCCTGAGTAAGCAATTTGTGCTTAGATTAAAAAAAAAAACATTCTTTGATCATATTATTTACGCGAACAGAAAACATATAAACCTCGTTGTACCATGCACCTCTATGTGCTGCTGAGTACCAAAAAGCAATGGAACCATTTTGTCTTTTCACTCCTCTTAAAAAACATCTTATTTTCAGGCTATTGGTGCAGTCTGCTTCGTGCCGATCTTCATCATTCCCTGCTCTCTGGCCCTCACCTACGTGTATTTTTCTTTACCCGAAACGAATGGCAAAGACACAATGGATATCGTAAAAGAATTGAAAGGAAGTCACAGGAAATTCGATGTTACGAATGCCTAACTTGCGAAACAAATCTGAAACGATCTCAATTCTACGCAGATTCTGCTCCTCAGGATTTGCCTCATACCAGTATTTTGTCTGTATATATGCGCGATTTTGTGATAATAAAGTATTTATCTGACTTATTACTACAACAACATGCACAAAGTGATACAAAGAAAAAACAAAACGACATCTGTGATAAACCCAATCTTATCAACAAAATTACAAAAATAATCGATGATCGAAAAATACTAATCTGACAGAGATGGAAATCGACCAAAATTCCTCTACAATGAGGATGACTGCGCTAATCGGGTGCCTGCTTAAATAATGAGCAGCAAAATGCGAAGCTCCTACGACAAAATCACAGCGAAACAAATCGAGAAGGTGGTTATTGTTAGCATCGATGTAATCAACAATGGAAAGAAACGCTCGTTATGTGTACAAATCTGACTTTCAGGCGATTACTCTGATAATAAACCCGTTAAAGAACCGGCAAATACAGTAACCCAATGGCGTAAAAAACATCTCAATTCAGGCACAAAACTTCTCGAAAGCGCTGTCGGCTATAACCAAATGATGCTACACAGTAGGCTAAGCAGAGTAACGCAGAGCACAGATCCAGCGGAAAGCGACCCAGTAGTGTTTGATTGATACTCGTATGACCGTGCTAAAGCAGAAAACATAAAAAAAGGTTCAAAAAACTAAAACTGTGAAAATTAGTATACTTACCTACATCCTCGTGCACGACAAATGCACCTTCTTCGTTGCCAATTCGATTGGCTCCCAGAAGTATACTGTCAGATGCACCACTGAAGACATCTTGCATCAATGGTATGGAATCCCAAAATGAACTTTCACTTTTTGTGGCAGCATCCGTAGCTTCCTATAATCATATAGATTCAAGCACTAAAGTTGATAAACTTTAAAAAATGTGATCTACCTTTCGTTCCTGCTCCGCTGGCGTGTCGAAAGTGAAAGTGCCGGTCGCTCCCTGTTGAGCTAAGGCAGCGACCTGCAAATTTCTTCATGCGTATGAAAAACCAGTCGGGAGGGCATTACTTACCTTTTGTAATTGTTCTTGATTCAAACCATCAGGAATTTTTTGTTCACGACGTTGCGGTTGAGAAAGAGAATGGGCAATGGCAGAAAACTTCGGGTTGACTATAATAAAAAACTATGGACTTGTGCCTGAAACAGTCAATTCTAATTTACTCACTACTTTCCAAATCTTGCAGGGGATTTCGACGACTTTCTCTGCTTTCGGATCGACTACTTTTAGTGGAAGTAGGGACATCCGAATGTTGGCGTACATGTATGACTAGGCGCATATTATCCGCAGCACACATTCCATAATGTGCGTTATTTATACCTTCTTTTGTACCACTAGATGTAGCTGAAAAGGGTCTCTTTGTTCAGCGATAACCAACGCCAGTGATCTTGATACTCACAGATCCAGTAATATGTCTCTCCAGGTTCGAAAAGCAAAGATTCGGCAGAAGGCAATGGGCTGTACCGACGGATTCCAATAATAGTAGGCTTTTGAGAAGAACTTCCTCCATCACAGACAACAACAAGCGTCTTCTGAGTTTCCAGAAGACAGTCCGCATAGGACAAGGCGCTGACCTAGAAAAATACATAGCGGTATAGTAGGCTTTACATGCAGAAAAACCGCTACCTTATGTATTTTCAGATATCTTTTTTCTGCTCCAGGACCAGGACATATCACACGCAACGTGTCGTCCATGTTAACAACGATCGAGTTCGACTCCTCAACATCAGGGGAGCGGAAACTGAAATTTCGAAGTCAGATATGTATGCCATACATGTGCACAGACACGACTCCTAATCGAATCTCATTTCCTTGCGCAATACTCGCAATCGACACCGACCGTCTTCCGGTCAGTGCATTCGCAGTGATTGAATCCCATTACAAGAGAAGGAAGACTTTGGCGGTCGGTCCCCATCTTTTGACTACACCGACACACACATCATTGAACAGATTAGTGAACTAATTAAGAAAAACAGATAGCAATCGGATTCGATCGAGCATGTGCTATGCTCTTGTTCGATAAAGGCAAAAAGTGCGAAAAAAAAGTTGCGAGCTGCAATATCCGACGGTAAATTCAGATTTGAATGGGCGCGACATTCATCAAACAAATCTTTTATGGCAATGACTTGAAAGATTTTTGTGGGTCGAGTAGAGCACCTACATGAACCAAAGTATTTTGTGCGTTGCAAGAAGCATGACGCGAATTTTGAGAAAGTAACAATCTTGACAAACTCGAAAGCAACAGAAAATTCATGGTATTCAAAATATGCACTACAATCCTCCCCCCCCCCCCCCCCAACCCTTTCCCTCAACGTCCACTGTTTCTGCTTGCGCGCTAGGTCACCCCGCAACTCCCATATCCGTTAACAGTATTTGTTTGCTGACCGCCTGACACCTGTCCAGTCCGTAATTGACGGCCACAGTAGCACCCATTTTCCTCGCAACGCAAACAGCGAAAAAAATCAGCTGCAATTAATGTGCGAAGGAGGTGATTATAGAAAACGAACTCCTTTCCGCATCCTTGCGAAAAAAAAATCCCAACGCAAATTTGTCTTAGGTCTGCTGCAACTTGATAAAACTCCTAGGACAGATATGAGCAGATAAGCGCAAGTGTGAACACCCAAGCGTGTTATCTGATCAGTTTTTGGCGTCCATCAAAGACAGCCGATACGGTCGCACTCTTATTTACCGGTCTTAATGATCGGCCGTGGAGTCGTAGTGGCCGAAGACGACTTAGAGCATTCGAGCGTTCACGCCGCCATTCAATATTGTGAGAAGAACTTTTCAACCATTTGCGACACCACGTAGTGGACTAGTTTCGCCACCACCGATACCCTTCAATGACCACGGGCATATGCGTTAAGGTCGTGACCAGTGCAAGTAGCGTTCTACTCATAAACTACGCGGCAACTATAGATATGCAAATATGCGAACAATGGCTGAGCCTTTCAGGTAGGCATATTCGCCTATTTGACCTCAACCATGCTATTCATGCACAGTGAGCGCGGGTTTTTGTCGCACGGACCATTCGGGTCGGCAAGTTAAAAGATAAGCCCCATGCGGTACGGTAATGAGTCTAATCGCCTGAAAACATCAGTACGCATATGTCTTCACGCTTCTTTGTACGAGATGCCCGCAAATCATTCTTATTATTATCTTATACACAAAGACAGGGCTTGATCAGATATGATTCGGCGAAGATTTGAAGTCATCCACTCGCCAGCCAGAGCTTTTGTGCGAATGATTACACTGCAGATGTGGGAAAAGGAGAAGAGAGCCTGATTGCATTCTCATCAAAAACAAATAGCAGGATAAGAAATCCCCTTGTTTAGATCCTCTCCGAGATTCTCCTAATTGATGTGCTATTCAAGTATGACCTCGGCAGATCCGTCGCAGCACGAAAACATTCAACAACAAAGATCCCAAATGCGGAAACCCTGCACATCTTCTCTAGATTACTGCCACCGTTAAAAAGATCTAAAGTCCCAAGGTATACGATTCAGTACAGCATGTATTAATCGACATTGACAGGTCCACCAGTATCCTTCATTCGGGCCAATTTGAAACGGTTATAAATTTTCCACGACCATGAAAGGGTCGTCGTGCACTCATGTGACCAACGAATAGTCATAGCAGATTTCCATCAAAGAACATATCGTTCCGGGTTTCCTAGACGACATTCAAGCACTAAGTCGGAACAATTCAAAGCGTCATTGGATCTGTGAAACGGTCATCCGCTAGAGACGACTACGACGATGCCGGTCTGACTGGCTTGAGTTAGCCCTCGATTCAGTCGTTCGTGCGCTCAGTTCCATTAGACAAACACGGGAAGGCAACTTTTATATGAAAAACACCAGGGTCGCGCAGTTTTCTTACAGACTACAGTAGAATAAGGTGCACGAAAAACATGGCGCCACATATGAGACAGCGTAAATGGGTAAGCTAGTCTCCGACCGATACTTAAGCGCTACTCTAGATTGTTGTATGATCACGCAGGATAAAAACTGACCGACTAGCATCAAGCCTATCGCACCCTCCATGATTACTCACTGGCTACTCTACTTTCAGGATCCTACGGAGAGTATAGAATTGAGTCGGAGGAGTCACCCAATTGGGCTCAGCATCCGGTCATATTTCCTGACCCCTGCTGACCACGCTAAGCCCGTCCAGCAACACTTTGTTACGCAACTAATCCTTCGAATCAACACCAAACCACCTCACTTGGGAACTTAAATGCCCAGATAATCAAGACGATCAAGATACGCTGAACACCAGTGGAAATAAAAAGCGCAGAACGCTACTTCACGGACTTTTTTTGCCATAATACGTTACCGCCTTATTCATTTCAAGTAATCTTTTTTCTTCTTTCACGTATCAGGTGTGCTAATCTAATCAGAAGCGATAACTCACTTCTATGACCTTGTAGCCGCTATCTTTTGCGCATTCTGCAAATATCAAAGATGCAGCGCGAACGGTAGCTACCGCAGAGGTATGATTTACAACTGCCAAGAAAAAAGGACCAAACAAAGCGCTATTGTATAGAAATCAATGACGATGATTGAGTTCGAGTGTTTGCCAGAGATGCCAGAGATATCTGATACAAGATCTCAGGGAATGTGAACCCACTAGTGTTGAGAATCCGCTCCTGGAGCTAGCAGTGAAGCTCCTAAAGCTCGAAAACTTCCCGCACACAACGGACACACCCAGCACAGAGCAGGGCTCGGCACGAGGTGGCTAGATGAAAATGGAAAAAACGAAGTTCCCCCGACTTTTGGGATTTTTTGCAAGTCCCCTTTGACCCTCAACCAAATTTCTTAAAAACCTGAAAAATTCCCCAAAATCCCCCAAAAAACGAAACGTCGACTAAAAAAAACGTCGCCAAGTCGCCAATTTTGCGTCTCTCTTCGGTCATAACGAAACCCCCTTTGCTTTTCGTCCGAAAAACGATATCCAGCTTGCTTGCTAGCCACCTGTGCCGAGCCCTGGCACAGAGTAGTTCTAAAATTCATCCAGAGTACAGCATTCATGCTGACAATTTTCATGAGCATACCCAGCGACATCATATTTGAAGAGAGTCACAACTAAAAGATTCCAAGTTTGTCCAATTTGATTTCCCCGGGCGAGGAGGAGAAATTTTATACGACAGGAATTTGAATTTGTTTCAAAAATAAACGATAGGAGCACGTACCCGTTAACTACCAGATAGCTTCGTTTGAGGTTGCAACTGCGAGGGCTGTCGATGGTGACACCTACCAGCCACCCCCCCCCCCCCCCCGTTGGCGCTAATCTTGTTAATAATCCGAGAACTCTGGACGACGTAAACAACAGTAGCTCAAAGCAATAAGATCATATAAACCACACATCCTGTGTGAGAGCAACGATTAGACTTGCTTCGAATCTGGTATACATTTCCCAAATACGCAAAACAACCAGCCTTTTCGATGACCTCGTACCTCCAATATGCGCATGAGTGGACTCAACAAGAATGTTACGCAATGGTGAGGCCCTCAGAAAGCGATAAAAGCGCTTATATCATATTACATGCGTGCGCAAATATGCGCTATCATATGGGCTGACTTAGTGGTTGGGCCAAGATGCAAAAAAGGTCAGAATCTGTACAGATTACCTTGTATCGCGCAAATCATCTACCTCTCGAGAAACTGATCTGACAAGTCTTACGCATATCCGGTGAACTGACAGCCAAGATGATTGGCACATGACAGTGCACATTAGATACCGAGCAGATCTGCTGATTGGTTCGAGCCATGAAATCTGGGTGTGTTCGCACGACACTACCGAATAATCTGTGCTCGTGATCTCACACGCCCGAGGGACAATTAGTGAAGACGCAATAATGGCGAATGCTCACTGCTTTCCCACGGTTTGGCCGCATCTAATCCAGTCAATACTGCGTACGCAACTTGCAATTAGCAAATTGCTTCTTGCTAGATGCTAGATTTAATCAGTCGCTCAGGTGCAGAAAACAAGAGAACTTCGCGTCAAGAACAACAGGAGAACGAGCGCTGCTCGAACAAGAACATAATCCTAGCAGCAAACATCTTCACTATGAATGGCTCCTTGAGCGACGACGTAGCGGTTGACACTAGATTTCCCGGCAAACATGTGATCCTTGAGTGAACCACTAGATCCCTCTCGGAGTGTTGTCTTAGTTGTACCATCTCTGATCAAATACGAGACTACAAGAGAAGAAAGCCTGTTCTTGGTAGCGCTGCCCACCCTCAGCTTACTAATCTTACTTTATACATTTTTTTAGAAGGACATTTCCATTCGATGCAGGGAAGAACTCGAATAGTCAAGATAAACTTGCGGTGAAGCAATTGCTCGCAAAATTGAATTAAGTCTATTCGCATCCGCTGGCAATGAGAAAATAAAGTAAACAACCAATTAATTATGCGCTTTCTTAGTCTTCTTTGCGTTATGTTTCTTCGGCCACACTGTGGGTAGTAAGAACGTTTGTGCTATCACCTTCAAAGTCAAATCAAATCCCTCCACCTAACGCGTCTGTTGTGAGTGACCAACTGTGCTTACCAATAAGCGAAATATGACACCTGCCATTATGTCGCAAAGCAAAGACATATTTAGCCGGAAAACAGTCAGGTTACCAGCAATTATGCACCTATATGAGCCAACAACAACATCTTTCTCATTAGAGCCTTCAGGAGCTTATTCCATACCTATCTTAATCCAAAAATCATGATTACAAGCTGCCATTAGCCGCTGATGAAACTAATGGTGGTAAGGTGTCACCTGTGCATAAATACCAGCTAATGAGGCTAATTCCAAACGACACGCTCGGTTATGAGCACAGGGCAGACGTAATGGGCCAAAGCGAGTCAAGTAGTTGCAAACAGCTTCATGCCAAGAAAATACAAAATGTTTGGAAAGTGCAAAAGACGTAGGTAAAATGTTTTCATGGAAAGAAAAACTCAAGCCAAACTGAACATGGAAATGAACAAAAACTTTCTGGGGATATGGATGTGCCGGACAAAACTGATGTACAAAATGCATAGATCGCTTTATTTTCAGCATCCGTTTTTCTCATAATCATACCATTCTCAATTTTGCCAATCTTTACCCCATTAACATCTGGCTATCTGACAGGATCACTGGATTAACCATGGAATCTTCATTTCCAGATATGAGAATTAAGCCACCATGCATCAAATGCATTTAAGGACTCGGTGTCGTTTCAGGCAGATTGCTCAGAGTGCTCAGGCGATCTGCGAGAAGCAGCACATCCGTATTCTAATGCATGCAAATGGATTGGCTGCAGTTAGTAAAGCAGAAGCAGCCATCGCCGTAATGGAGGAGCAAATCACTGCAAGCATTTCCGCTTTCATTTGCAAGAAATTTACCCCCATGAATCCCCCGGATAGTATGGTAGTATGTAGATCTGCTGAATAAGGCTCACATATGGCTCGTGAGCTGTCAGCTTGCATAATCCTCAATGACCAGATTGCCGACCAACAGGCCGTTTTTGTGCTTATTATTATAGCGTCACGGCAGCGACTCATTAGCCCGCATATACTGCAGTATGCACCAGAGGAAAATTATGATCACAGTCAACAGCAGCGAAAAATCTTTGCATGCGAGCGATGACCCTCTATGAGTACAAAAAGAGCGGCAGCATTCCAAGGGCGGCTGACTGACGACGGCTGTAAATCTCCAGCCGTAAGAAAGCCAGTTCAGCCAAGCACGACACCATCGTCGTTCCCACAGATGCATGGCACAATGAGGCATTGTCTCCATCATTACTAAACTTTGTATCAACAAAGGCACATGTTTACATTCACAAGTGCGCAACATAGCCTGTCGACGGCGGCCGCCACATCAGATCTCTTCATAAGAGTAATGCATAGGGTGATAAACCCGCTGCCGCACTCAATAAATCTCACCTATACCTCTTTGCACCTGCCTTTATTTAGGTCAAGCGGGTTAATCGTATTATAGCGGAAGAAGTAATTGCCTTGAAAAGAAGAACAATTTTTTATGGGCGAAAGACGACGAAAACATCTCTAAGGTTCGGTTACCTAAGATTACAATAGTATTAGTTTGGGAGAAGTTTCTGCTATAGGATGTCGTCACGTAATCATATACTCGTCTCGTATTCTATTCCCAAGAGGTTCCGAATCAAGAGCCTATTTCTTCAAGGAGCGAAAACACCCGCGCCGCTCCACAACTCATTCGACTACTAGAACTCAGATAATACTGAAGAAAGTTTGCACGTAATGAGATGAAGGTCAAGAGACAAGATGAAGAAAAGCGAATCTTATGTTTCAAGAAACTCTAGAATTACAGCATAAGAAACAATGATAACTAGATTGCGAGACAAAGTTGGTATTCATAACCTACCTCAAAAAATTTCCGACTCTTGAGTTTCATTGAGTTCTCCTCAAGCTCTTAACGTCACCCTTGACCTAATAGTTCCTCACAAACAAAAAAGGGTACTTAAGAAGGATAAGACAAAAGACTGTGTAATGCACACGACGCTTGAAAAAAACGTAATTAGAAAACAACAAGCCCGTAATTATGAGCACTTGAATAGTTGCACAAAAAATCGGAGTAGGAAGAAGGCAGAGTGGTAAACAGAGTGGTATGAATGTGTGAGAAGATAATCGCACCCACAGACTGCAAGCGACCTCAAACTTTCCAAAAGAATCTTATCTCCGCATCTAAGGATGATTAACAGATTCCTCCACGCAATCGCACGTAATTCATGTCCGATGGCGATAACCCGTCACCGGTAGCGCTAGTAAATCATTTATGAATACGATAACATACGATACCACGAGCCACATAATAGCTCTGATATACTGTACTGTCATAAAAAAGTCTATGAGTAATTTACGTGGAAGTAAGTACGCAAGTACGAAACCTCAGGGTAAAGTTTCTTATATCACAAAGGTCCATTCAGTTCCAAGTTTACTCATCTTCCATCTAAGCACTAGGCAAACAGAAGCGAAAGCACCCGCGAGATTATTATGGCATTGCGAACGTGGGGCTACTGCCGGTCAGGAAACAAAGGATGCACTCATATTTCATAAAGTTTTAGGTTACGTCGGGGTTCGTACGAAATAAGGCAGTCAAAATGGAGCAATTGAATTCGATTCGGTCCGGAGGCACCTTTAATTTATGGAATGTCATCCATGAAGTTGCGAAAAAACAGCACGCAGGAGATCGAAGAAGAGAAACAAAAAAGTGAAGACAGGAAAGAGTACTCACTCATTATTGGAAACATTCCAGTAGATCGTATGCTCTTCAGCCACTGCACATATTATCACTTGTGTGAATAGCAGAAAGAAGAACGCCGAGGAATACATCTAACCAGCTGATCTTCAATGTCACTTCGATATTTGCAGGATAATGCACGCTTTCAACTCAGCACATAAAATAACCTAGAAAAGAATAATGAGTTCGGTAAGCAAACATATGCAAATTATACGTGAGAAATGATTGCGGAAATCAAAAGTGCGACGGGTGACAGGCGGGGAGGGCATCCGCATATCGAAGTAATGCGCCTCATACGGCGGGGCGGGACAGTAAGGAGCTGAGGGCGCGGGACCCCGCCCCAACAACACATATTTCGGAGGGTATAGAAGATGAGGCAATCAAAAGAATCACGAAGATAAAGCAAAACTCATAAACAACAACTTAAAAAGTCGTGAAAACACTGCAAAATTTTGCCAAATTTAAAGGAGTATAGCGGTTGGTCCAGATCAGAGAAGCCGGTCCATGGAATCTCCTACAACTGACATTTCGCAGAATTCTTCCAAACCTCCGCTCAGCGAGCATTTCTCCTTACCCTCCTCTAATTTTGTGTACTGATCAGAGTGCCGGGACCGAATACAATGACGCGCCTATTTGCAGATTTTTTTCTTCTAGTGAGTTTTTTCTAATTTCATGCGTTTCCTACCAATTTTCCTGCTAAATGTGCTTATGGCTTGTTGTTCTGAAATTTTCATTTTTTTTCGAAAGAATTACAAAGGAAAAGTTGTTTGTTAACGAAATTACGATGAATACACATATTATGTGAAATCATATTAAGGCAAACGCTGTAGATTTGATAATTAATATGGTGCCCCTGCGGTACAGATACACTCGCACGCAAAACCGTGTTTGTAATGGGCGGCAACAATTGCGCGTAAAAAATGGCCATAGCGAGCAGTTTTTTTAGTTTAACGTCGCTTGGCCATTTCCACGCATAGTTTTTGCCTGCAGCGATGGGGCACTATAAACCCTTAAACTTACTATCACATTAGTTATTAGGGGTAAAGGCTCAGGATAAAGATCTCGCACTTTTTTTTAATAAAGTGCTGTTTCCGATAGTCACTAGGAAGGAGTTGTAATAAACTTCGCAAACAAGACCCGGTAAGTTTCATCAGTGCGCCTTTCTCACGAGGTAATTACTTGTTTACTCAACTTCACCCCGTATCCATGTCGCCAATGTAACTATACTTCGAAACCTTCTTCAGTCGACGAGCTATTTTGCACGACGGTACTCGAAAGGAGGGACTGTTGACGAGATCTTAGTTTTTGGAATTTTTTTTTATCTTGTGGTTGAAACTGATTGCAGGAATGAATTGAAGAATTCGTAGATCCCTTTTTATGACCATTCTATCTTACTTACGAGTACGTAACTTCAAAAAGAAAATCAAAGATTTCTTATACAAGCGCTAAGCATAGCATTAGTGTTGATAAAGGAGGTAAGGGTAAGAAATAAGAGTTTCATTTTTTTAGCTTTTTTCCGCTGGCAAAGAAAAAAATGAGAAGAAACATGGTAGCAAAGCGAAGACAATCTTATCCCTGGCGAAATGAGAAAGTGAAATGACTTTTTTTAACGGAAGCCTCATTGGCCTTTTGTGAATCTTATCATCGCATTTGCTATATAATCTTTGGATAAAAGAATTGGATAATTGCATAGTGGGTAGACGATTTATCAGAAAACGCAAATAGAAGATGGTCAATATACATGGATAACATTTTAGCAAGTGAAAAAATTAGGATTATTTGCAAAAAGTCCTAGGATAGAAGGTAAAAAGAATTGGAAATAATTTTTATGTTGACACAAAACACTTAGAAGCTGGTACAATTGAAATCCTTTGTGGCTTAAGATGAAAACAAACCCACGTGGATACAAAACAAAGGTAAAACTACAGTCGGAAGAAAAACTTGAACAAAAGAAAAGTACGCTAAAAGAATTGTCGTGGCATTTGCGTTGTAACCAGTGCGCCTAGTTGAAAAAGTTTGCAAATCAGATTTTCTGAAAAAAAATTACACATACGTATATTTGAGAAAAGCTCACGTTTTCATGGTTTGAACCTGCCAAGTGGAGATAAGCAGTTCTTCGAAAATTTCACGGTGAATAGTTAACTAAACTCTTTCACTCGAGCAGACAGCTGAAAACTCTTTCATATTCAGCACATGAAAATCAACCATGAGAGAAGGGACGAGTTTTTGCTTTGCTCGAGCACGACGAGTAGGCTAAGCGCCACACTCGAATGCAAGGTTATTGACTCAAAATTTCACTACATCTCGCATTCGCCAAATCTAAATGACCTGGAAAAGCCTATACTATGCAGCAGTTCCGAGCAATAACCTTAAGAATCGAGTAATCTCGAGAAATGAGCAAAAATAGAGCAATAGCTCATACTCTCCGACTCTCCGGGCATTTGATTGCTGTCTAATGGCAAATGGGAATATAAAATTACAGAATTGTGGAATGTGCTATTAGCCAACATAGCAGAAAAACATAACTCGTAAAGATTAGCAATAAGTCTCTTGCAGATGCAGAGAGGCTGACTGTAATAGAAGCGTGTGAAATTCTTAATCAAATTGAATACAATACTGTCTTTTGGACTTTCTTGTCTTATTTTAAATGAGATTACCTTGAACAAAATGAAATGCATTGTATCCTTACTTATATAAAAAAAATTTTCAAATTGAGATTCGCAACTTTTCGCTTCTAAACACTCACTTTATTTCACATTTATTTTAATGAAGTTTCCGGCTTTGCAAAGATATCTACGAGTTTCTATCATACAACGAAAAGATTAAGACAGAAGAAACCACTTGAGCTTAGTTCATTAGGTATCAAAGTCAATTTTCTTTCCAATTGTTCAAAGCCACTACATTTAAAACGTTCTGAGGTAGCAAACCTGAGTAAGCTGAGTATTGACATTTTCGGTAATTTTGGCAGTTTCGAGTTCTTGCGACCTAAATGATGTACCGTGATACCATTAAAAATTGTCTTTATTGTGAAAACGCCTAATAGAATAAACTTTCTTCACTGCAATGGTACCCAAAATATTTGAAATGTTAGAGTTTTCTGCAATGTTTCAGATTTCTGAGACCTAATTGATGACCAAAGCCTTTCTTCTTCATTCGCTTGCATCTGTGTAACCGTAAAATTTCAAAAATTGTCCAAGGAACTGTTCCAACGCCAAAAACTTTTCCATAGTCTGAGATTTGTATTTTGCAAAGTTGAAATGGTGGGAGAACGCTTGAGAGGTGTATTACATATAAAATGGAACTACAGTCCAGAGGTAGGGTAGGGGGACGCACCCCTCCCCGAGAATGTGTCGCGAAATTTTTGGAAGCTACGTACATGAGTTATAAATATGCAAGTGGCTTTGTTTATACTCGTAGATAGTTCAAACAGTTTTCAAAAATCTTTAAAAATGCAAATTAGCCTTGTAAATAATTTTTTCGGGGCGTGAGGGGTCATGGGTCCGCAAAAATTTGGAAAGCATCTCAAAGAATTCTTTTGAGTGCGTTGCGAATGCTACGCACCTTTTTCGAGACGAAACTTTTAAATTCCTCTCCCTCCAACGAAAATCCTGGAACCACCAAGCTGCAATCTGAAAGTTGGAAAGCTTGTAGGAATTTTTAAAACCTTTTTCCAGAGATTTTGGTTAGGCTTCGTGCCAATTTATTTAGAGTACATTTGAAGATATCTACAAAGGTATAAGACACAGCAGATTCTATCTTTTAGGAAGGATTTCCCAGAAAGGCAGAACAGCTGAGAAACCTGCATATGGACAGTTGCAATGGGAAACGCAGGAATGGGAAACGACTGTAGGTTTAGATTTCCTGTTTGAAAATGAATTGTGACTGGTTCACTTTCTCAAAGTTGTTCTGTTCAATTTCTATCCTTAGAAACAGGCTCATGGTCTAAAATAGATTTCGGACCCTACCTCTAAGCTTTTTATCTAAAAGATTGCAACTAAAATATAATTTGGTGCAAAGAAGTCCTGCAGTGACCCAAAACCCTTCAACTGCATGTAATAGGCTTTCTCATCCGAATCCTAGCAATTGAACAAACAAATGAGACCCGGACGTGATTGCAACAACCGGCCGGTTAGGGATCACTGCGATCGCCAGACAAGTTGCGAGCTATGAATACGAAATTTCTCCGAGAGGAAAAAAATACGTACAACAGTTGTCAGCCGTCATAAAATTGTCAAATGGGGATTTGATTCACTGAAAGAGATTTCTTCAAAACCTTATTTGAATGTGAAAAGTGCCGATTGTTTAAAAATATGCCAAGCTATATACGTGTACTAAAATTACATCGTAGTCCTTGTCCTTCTTTTCAACTTTAATTTATTTGTAGTTGAAATGGGCCTGGGCCAATTTCTTCTCTCATTTCCGCATTTCAAACCCAGAAAATGGGATTATCCATATTAACGTACTAGCTGGCTTACCCGGCTCCGCCGTATGCTCCGAATAGAAAATTCCATTTCTCAACCGATCCGGACCAAACTTGGCACACTTACACTTCGGGCCCCGGTAGGTGTCACAGTCCACTTTTCGTTATCGATCGATGTCGACTTTATCGATTTTTTGCAAAATTTGAGCTAGGGGGCTGGGATTTGGCACAGGAGGGTAATCGAGCATGCTGATTACGCGGAATCCCCATGCTCACTTACCCCTCTGTGCCAACTCCCAGCCCCGTAGCTCAAATTTTGCAAAAAATCGATAAAATCGATATCGATCGATACGAAAAGTAGCCTCTGACACCCGCCGGGGCCCCAAACAGACATTTAGCTTTATATATAAGATTGAAGCACTGAATATGAAAACAAAAACTCAACCCTAGCAGAATACAAATTTCTGGAAAAAAGATCTAAGTCAGAAGATTATCAGATTACAATACAATTTCATTTACACCTTTCTTGTAAATGCTTTCTTCTACGTCTATTGAGATCTCTTTGCCTACAAATCTTTTCCATGATTGAGTGCTGGGGATTGCAAAGACATTTTGTGCATGAGTGCGTGTGAATTTCTCAAAACCAGGAATTGCATGGCTCGAACTTTTTCCGGCCTTATTAGGAGCGAAAGTCTGAGGTCAAAGACCAAGTGTTGGTAAAGTTTAACTGCGTGGCAGTGAACATCAAAGTAAACTTTTGAA